GGGGGTGGGGGAATAGACAAATTAGATATTAAGAGGCCAGTATTACATAACTTAAATTCGGTTACTTCTAAGGGGGAAATGATTTTTTCCAAAAAATATTCACACTTGAGGGTAAGGCTCCCCTTGGTTTAATCTATATCTATTCATGTCATTGTAATGGGTATAATTAAGTGCGAAAAAGTTGTTGCCGGGATTAAAAATTTAAAATCACCGCACAAACTTTATCGCACGCATGATACTCATTTCAATAACATATATAGTTTTATTCATTTTTACTAAAATTATTTAAAAGCAGGTCGATAAAGTTACTTAATCACCCTGTTGTAGGGTGATTGAGTAATTTTATCACCCTAAAATGAGACAAATTATATATGAAGCTTGAAATTTTAATAGCAGGGTAAAAAATTACTTTTTCGCCCTGTTGTAGGGCGATAAATTCACGTAATCACCTAATAACGGGATTTTTAGGTGTGATGAATTCCATCAAAATTTAATAAAATATGTTATGTACAAAACTAAGAGTGGAAAAAAAATATTTCATGAATTGATGAAAGGCATCAAAGCTAAAATAAAAAAAGCAATAAACAAAACAATATTCATTGATTTTTTGTATGTATTTGACAAATATTAACACAATTCTTTGTTATAATATATAATACATGGGTATGGGTATATCAATTAATCAAATTTGTTAAAAATACCGAATATTCAAAACTCTAGTATCCAATACAAAAATTTTCGACTCCATATATTCTAAGCATTTCTTTTTTCTATCAGGAGTTTGCTCAAATAATTTTAAGGGGTATTTTTTTCAAGAATTATTCCCCCCCCCAGGAGGGGGAGGGGCGAACATTAAATTAATTTGTCCATATATATTAAAACATATTTGCACTGAACTAATTCTACGCCATATATTGAAACATATTTGCACTGAACTAATTCTACGCCATATATTGAAACATATTTGCACTGAACTAATTCTACGCCATATATAGAAACATATTTGCACTGAACTAATTCTACGCCATATATTGAAACATATTTGCTATGCACTCCTGATCCATATATTGAAACATTTTTGCTATGCACTCCTGATCCATATATTGAAACATTTTTGCTATGCACTCCTGATCCATATATTGAAACATATTTGCTATGCACTCCTATCCATATATTGAAACATATTTGCTATGAACTCCTGATCCATATATTGAAACATATTTTCTATGAACTAATCCTAATCCAAATATTAATTCATATTTGCAATGAACTAATCCTAATCCATACTTTAAAACACATTTGCCATGAATGAATCCTGGTAATTTTCTAAAGAATTTTTTTTGGACCCCCCCCCCNTCAATTATGTACATGGATCTCATATGTAACACATGGATAAAATTGGTTATGTGGCCACAGCGCCACTAGCCTGTCCCTAGCCGCAGCGCTCAGCCCCCTAGCCTGTCCTAGCTGCAGCGGTCGGCCAAGAAACTGTCTTAGTATAACCTAATCCCAAAATAGTAAAATATAATTTTAATAATTTTGCTGAAGTTATATTGATATTAAGGGGCGAGTTAAAAAATCGTTCTCTATGACAGACCCTAATACTAACCTGAGTTAAGAATGAGCTGTATCTGTATGGAGCTTCATCAAGAGCTCGTTGCGTCAAAATAAAAGATCCTGCAACAAATTCTGCATCCTCTCCGGGTATCTCCTGGCCTGCGTTGCCAAGTACTCCATCTCCTTTCAGGGGCAGCGATTTGGGGCTTAACAAACCCTGTCTAGGGGCGGAGGAAAATTGTGTTTTCCGCCCTAACCTTCGTCCGCCATCCACCCTGGTCCATAATATAATCGTGATTATGGACAAAACTACGTTTTTCCATGACGGATACGTTTTCATATCACTGTAACGTTTCACAAACCCATAGCAGTTTCACGCTCCACTCCCCTACTCTTAAAATATCACCCAAATACTTCCAAGTTCTGTCTGACGGACTAAGTACAATTGAAAAACTTGAAAACTGGGAAAACTTGTGCAGCTGACTCAGTCAATACGAAACTTGAGAGAAACTGCGCATGCGTTAAACCTAATCACGCTGTAGAAAAATTCAAATCTTATAATTTTACATAATGACAATGATTTAAATATTAAAATATTTCATTTCTATCTTATAGCTGTTAGTCATTCAACAAAAATATAAACATACTTTTTAAAACAAATAATTACAAGTTTGAAAAGTTCTGTGGGGTGGGATTCCGAATTTTCTATATACGTTCCTAAGGGAAAATCGTCCTTAATAAAACAAGTTCCATAGAAAGGTTATTGGCGTAGAGTGTTTCCACACTACAGACGGTTTACGCATACCAACGAATAGAGAGGAGGGGGGAGGGTACTGACCATGTTATGACGCATTTTCCAAATTATAAAACCTGGGAAAATCTAATTTCCAAGAATTAAGACATTTATTAGAATTACATGAATGATCCGAAGAGCACGTATACGGGGGAGGAGGGTATATAGTGGGTATAAGCACCTCCCCTCTCTGGAATGGGAAAACTGTCAGTAAGGGGGCGCAGCTTGGCCTAGCATAGCCCCTCGCCGATCGTATTCCAAATATTAATAAAAACAATAAAAAAGATTTGATGATGGTTTGATGAAGGTTGGATAAGGGATGGAACCCCCCGACGCCATGAGCCTCCCATATTTGTTCGGCAGACCGAGCCTCTTACGCAGAAATGAGCAATACATGAAAATGTGCCTGTGTAATACGTGTTTTTTAAACTTGTGTAATTAAGTTAAAATAAAAGATTTTTTACAAATTTTTCAACAAAGTGGCATGAGAGCTGTTTCTCATTATAGATGAGGAGTATATTTATCAATTATCGTAAATAGTGCTTAATTAAGTGGTATATTGAACTTTAATCATTGTTTACATGAAAGGAAAAGATTTATAGAAAAAAATTGAATTGAATTTCCATTAATCTTATATAATCTTTGACTTAACTGATACCTTTAATTTGTAGTTCAAAATTAAATCTAGAAAAATTGTATCATTTATTAAAATCTTAACATTTTTCAAAAAAAGGTATTTTTTAAATAAAAGATTACAACAAAACCAACTAAATTTACACAAGAAATATTTCTCCAAAGATCTTCCTTTCTGTGTAAGAAAGGTTTAAAGTTATAGTATAAATCTTTGTGAACCATACCCCTAAATTTACCCACAATAAACCATTTTATGAGTCCATATATGTTTCTAATCATGACAATCAATAAATAACTCTAATCTTTAGTAAAATTCTTATGCCACTATGTCAAAAAAATTGTTGAAATTTTTCATTACACTTAAAAACCAAGATTTAAAAACTGTGCTGTATGGTGGAGTCTAGTTTACTGCGTAGCGTAGAAACATGGTCTGCAAAGCAGAGGCTTGGTCTGCATAGTCGAGGCTCGGTCTGCCTAGCAAATCTGGGAGGCTTGTGTCTGCATAGTGGAGGCCTATGGCGTCCAGGGGTTCCCTCCCTCATTAGATGAACATTGGAGATGTTAGAGGAAGGTTTCATGAAGGCCCAGCAAGAAAACCCACTTGTACTCCTCAAGAGGAGGCCTCCTTTCCACCAAAAATGGAGAGTCTCCCTCATTTCCTCCTCTTGTGAAGTCAACCAAAATAGGAATTTGTTATGAGGAGAGCTTTGCTGTTACTCCTCAAGTGAAGTACTCCTTTCTTCCATCAAAAACGGGTGGTTCTCCTCATTTCCTCCTCTTGTGGATAATCCTCATCATATCTTGCTTTTTTGGAGAGTTCTTGAAAAGAGTAGGAACCTGTAGGAATTCCTTTTAAGGAGAGCTAATCATGTGATCTGGCTGGAGGGCAGGACCAGCGGGGTTTAGGCAGTTCCAAATATATTAACACAAGAAGTCTCTAGAGTTTAAAGTGAAATTGAATTATTTACAGAAAATAAAACTGTTATTGTTTTAAACTAAATTTTATTTCCTATTAGATATTTGAGTTTTATCATGTGCAATTTAAACTACACTTGGTAAATACATTTCAATTTAATCAGTTGCTTACTGCCCTCAGAAGAGAACAGACCTCTAATATAGCAGTCCTGGCTTTATAGTTTGGAGGAGCACTGCATTTAGTTGCACACATGTCTTATCCTACATAGGAGTAGCAAGTAATCTATAAAATAAAACAAGACATTTGTTTATATGTTGCATGTAGCCAGCCAAACGGCTGAACCAATTTGGTTGAATTTTTTTGTGAACACTCAGGGGTGGCAGGTGGCCAGGGACTTTTCCAAACAAACAAAACACAGGTTTTTAACGAGATTAGCGTGATGGAGAACTGGTTGATAATTCAAATGATTAATTCACGACCCCTCCTTGTGTTATACTCGTGGTATAGCTACTTTTCACAATCTTGAAGATTCCTCCTGTGTAAAGCATGGGTAATAAATGCGGAAATATTCTTTGAAAATTACCGTCATTTCTTCACATGTTGTACACAGCAAAATAAACCATGTGCAAGATCTTGCATATTCCTATTGTGTTAAACATGAGTAATGCAATGCCAGAATTTTTAGATTTTAATTCTTGTAATTATCATGTGTAAGATATTTGAGATTATTTTAGTTCAATTCCAGTTGTTTTTTTCACATGTTGTGTTCATAGCAAAGATACCAGTGCAAGATCTTGCATATTCCCAAATGGTTAATCATGAGTAATGTGATGCTAGAATATCTAGATTTTAATTCTTGTAAATATCACGTGTAAAATATATGAGATATCATGGGAAGAACTTTATGTTTCATTTTTGACAGAGTTGCAAAATCACAACACCTGGTGTCTCTGCTCATCTCTTAGAAACTTAAAGTTTATTGTAGTAAAATTAAATATTTTAACTGACATAAATTTTTCAGATTATAACAAGCATGAGCAAAGTATAGAAAAGTTTCACATTGAATTTTGTATTGTATTTCTCAACAACCCCTTTTAGGAATATCAATCTTTTAGATATATCAAGGAAGGAACATTCATGTAATTATGAAAACATCAACATACTGAAACATTATGTAGAATTGAAATATCAAATTGTGAATATTAATAGTTTAAAGTTTACATGTTCAAGATGTTTAATGTAAAAGATATAAACTTAAATGTTTTTAATAATGTAATTTAAGTAGATGGGAGATAAATGATTTTCTCATGTAAAAATCCTGTGTTCATCTTAAGAAATAAACTCAAGTTTTCACCATGCAAAAACTTGGTCCTATACCTGTGATCAAATCGTCAACATTCACCTCGTTAACATGTGAATTATCACGGGATATTCACGGGTCACTCGTGTGAAATACACCAAATAATCTTGTGTTCTTCATGGGTTTTTGTTTGTTGGGTTTTTAGTTTTTTTAAATTTTTGTTTCAACATTTTTTTTTTAACTTGGGCAACGACTGGCCCTTCATCTAGTATAGAATAAAACAGAACTCCATCTTCAGCCTGGTGCAGCTGCAAGAAGGAGTTTAACCCTTGATGGTTATACAAGTCATGCACAAGGATACCGGTTTTTTACTCAACCAGCTGTGAGGACTGGACTGCTGTGGAAGATTTCTCTCAATATGGCTTTAAGGCTTACAACTCCCCATTTTGCATAAGGGGTGCAGTTATGGGTTTCCTTAAAATACCCATTTGTCAGAAAGATTATAACTCAAAGGAAAACAGGGAGCATTCCCTTATACCCTTCCTCCTACAAACCTCCTTATCTCTCTCCTACCTGCTCCACAACTCGGTGTCAAAAGAACTATTTGAAGAGCCTTAAAGTGTAGAAACAAGAAACAAGAAGCAAGAAGAAAAAAGAAAATTGAACAGGAAAAAATGGGAGGGAAATCTCTTGATATTAGAGATGGGGGCTTGGAAGACATCCCCAACCCCCCCAACCCCCGACAAGGAGGGGGGAGGGGAGTGAGATGCTCCGTCAAGGATATCCAAAATGTGATTGAAAGATGTATAAACAAGAAGAAAATGAAGAACAAGAAATATGGAAATCTCAAAAATTTTATCTGATACCATATAAATATTTAAAAATATTGTAAAACTTAATAAAAATAAATTATTGAAGTTAAAAACATTTCAATTAAATACATTTACTTCATGTTCTTAAATGCTAATTACCACAAATTTTGAAAGGATTACCTAAGACTTATTTCAATTGGCTCTAATGGGGTTTAACAACGGAAAACGGTGCTAATGAAGATGCTCTTAAAGATGTGTAGTAACACTTCTCCAAAAGAGGCGTAACAACGGTGCGCCTCAAACCCTCTAAAAGAGGTACACCTAAAACACCCACCAAAGATACACCCCAAATCAGTCTGTTTGGTCACTTAACGTTCCACCTCAAGGCTCAATCTCATAACTTGAGTTCGCCGCAGAACCTCCGTTTTGGAGATTATGAGTTCTGTTTCTCAATCTCCGTGACATGATTAACGGTGCACCTTTTTGTCCCCCTTTTCTTGGTATTTTTTCTTACTGGGGGTTTGATAAAGGTTTGATAAAGGTTTGATGAAGGTTTGAGGCAGGTCTTGAGTAAGGTTTGAGGAAGGTTTAAGGGAGCTTTGAGGAAGGGTTTGAGGAAAGTTTGAGGTAGGTTTGAGGAAGGTTTAATAACTAGGTTTGATGCAGGTTGTATGAAAAAATTGATGAAGGTTTGAGGAAGGTTTGAGGAAGGTTTGAAGAAGGTTTTAGGAAGGTTTAATGAAGGTTTGAGGAATTGGTTTGATGAAGTTTAGACAAATAAAGCCTTCAACAATTGGTGAAAAGCACTAAGCGTTTAGGTAAAAGTTTATTTTTATTTCTGTTTTGTATTTGTTCACTGTAAAAACCAGCCAATGTTTGAAGTAAATTTGTTGATTTTTCTCCTTATTGGATTTCTTCTGACAAAGCAGGTTGCTTCAAACTTCAGATTAATCAATGTAAGTTAGAGAAGTTGGAGTTAAAGAAATGTTGAAAACCTGACACAGTGTACGTTATAAATTTACACTGTACACTGTACATTTACACTTTACACTATACATTTAGAAAT